ACCCCGAGGCCCTTAAATAAATCACTGATCTGGTAACTGTTCAGTCAATATCCAGTATACTTTTAACACTCTAAGAAACCAAACTTGTATTTAAATTGCAGAAATCATAGAACAGCCTAGGAAGAAACCTCTGGAGATCATCCCGTCCAACCCTCAGCTGAAAGCAAGGCCTTAGATGAGGTTACCCAGGGCTCTGTTAAGGCAAGCCCCGAATACCTCCTGCAAGGGAGAGTTCCACCACTTCTCTGGACAAACTTCTCTAATGTTTAATTCTTCTCACAGCAAAGAATTTTATTCCTATTGCCAGACAGAAATTCCCCTGAAGGAACTTGTACCCACTTTCTCTTGCCCTGCCACCATGCATCCTTGTGAACACAGCGACCATGCTTTACATATTAAAAGACAGAGATTAAATATATACTTCATTCCAAGTCAAAAGGGACTACTTAAAATTTGGACGAAATAAAAGAAAAGGAGCATCAACCGGATGCCTGTATGGTGTATCCCTACCTGGAAACTGAGACATGCAGAGCTAAGGTCATAGCTGAGTCAGCATGATCTCCTTTCAGAATCCCCTCATGAGACTTGTATCAAGTAAGTCTGCAAGAACATTGCTATTAAAACAGTTATTTCATCAATCTGTATGTATATATTTTTTTTCCTAATGCTACTTATTTAAGAAAAAAGTGACATTATTAGCTCTACCTTCTTCATAAATCTGAACAATAAACGTTTCCTCTGATCTCATGTGTAATTGGTCAAAGTCTGGTAGTGCTTTTTTCTACTGACATTTTACCTATCATTCAATCCAAAGGAAAAGTGTCCTTTTTCCACAGACTTATACTGCCCTCTGTAGGATTATTTTAAGTAAAATATTAGGAACAAAATAGAAGAAAAAATGAAAAAGAGAGCATGTTAAGTCCCTCACATTACTATCTCACTTCATAAACATGCTGGAAGTGGCATATTAAGTTGACATTTCCTATAGCTTCATAAGTTCAGGGACTTTATAGACGGTGGATACAAATCGGGAAGTAATAAGCAGAATATTCCAATGCAATGTTACCAGACTTTTGAGGCTGCAGAATGAAAACGGGGTGCCTGAAGATCAATGAAGTCAGTAGACACATGAGGGTGTTCAGAGCTAGTCAAAAACACCCACCATTTTTCACAACTGCAGACTGCTTTCAAAGCACGTCTCAAAAGACTCCCAATTGTGTGTAGCTAAGCAAAACACCAAAATAAATTAATGAGAAAATCTACTGTATCAGAGTCTTTACTGAAGCTGTATCCTTCAATATTTAGGTGTCATTCTTGATACTACGAAAGACACAGTTCTGCTCCTTCTTGCCATGAACAAAACCCAGATTTCTTTATTCTAAATTGCACACACAAATAAAATGTTGGCTATTTTTTATTTGGTGATCATATTAGACAATTAGAAGGACATGGTAATGTGAAGCCTCAAGATAACTACTAGCTAATAATTTACATACAGGCATAGAAATGCAAAGTTTATTTCCCTCTTCACGTGCCTTAGAAATGTTTTCGATAATTTAGATGAGTTCAGTAGTGACCTTGGGAGCTGGCTGGTGCTTTTCATGCTATAGTACACTTGTGGTGTTAAAGGATATTAAAGGACAAGGAAGTTAACCAAAGGTATACTTACATATCCATGGACTAAATAACTCTGACAATTCAAAAGTGAACTTAAAAGCTCCAATTGCGTGAAGGGATTATGATGACATCAAAATCACAAGCCTGAGTGACTCATTATTTTCCCCACAATCCAAAAACGCAATTAGACTTTAATTGCATTTTTCTTGAGAAAAAAAGCCTGTAACAGCAATTACACACATTAAAATACCCTGCCTAGAATGTTACTGCAATTATAAATGCTAATCACAGTGACAATAAATAAAAAACTGTACTACAGTTTGTCACCATTTTATCACGTGAGGAATGAGGGCACTGAAATTCCCATTAAGTTTGAAGGGAATTTCGCATATAAACTGTGGGGCTAACTCCATGCCCTAACCTCAAGGAAGGATTCCACAGGACCAAACTTGGTGTCCAAGTCATCCCTACTAAAGAAGACATATGTCTCTCTTCTCCACATCATTAATCTGGTTTCAGACAGCATACAAAGACTGAGAAAGCAAAATAAAACGCAGGAGACACAGTGTAATCTGCAGGGAAGCGAGACTTGCACTTCTTTACGTGTGCTCCTTTGCTAGGAGTACGTATGCATCTCACAACAAAGGTGCATGCATCCAAGAATCACCTATTTTTACACAACAGTGTAATCGGTTTCGATGTTACATAAATCCTTTCCCCAAGATTTCTAGAAAACCAGTGGTCTCATCATTAATTGATTAATGGAATCTTTCGAAAAATCTAGGTTATTTATTTTCCAGTAGCTAGCTATTCCACCATGCTCCATTTACTGTCCTTTTAATTTCTGATGTATTCTGTTTCAATTAATGCACTTTCATTGCCACAAGACACAGACGATTGACTAACAAGACAATTCACATTTGGAGGGAAAGGCCACAGATTAATAAAAGCAGAAAACTACAACCTACTTTGTAAGAAATGATTGAAACATAACACACTGGAGGCTACCTTCTATCACAAAGTGACCACTTGTGCCAAAACAGTCTGCCAAAAGAGGCAGATTTCTCTTTCTCTCATTTCCTTCTCTAAAAACACAAAACGGAACTAGTACTGGGTAAAGAGACGAAAACTGACCAAGACTGGCACACAACGTGGTCATGCAAGTCTCATTTCCTTAGGCAAAATACAGGATATGGGTCAGAAAACTTGAATTGTCTTAGCACTTTGACAATAAACTTTGTCTGGCAACGTTACAATTAACCTAAAATAAGCCAAAAATTTGTCAGACCAACTGCTTTTGTTTCTCATGGATGCAGACCAACTTTGTGTCAGGATTATATTTTTAAGTAAAGTTCAAGTTTAACTTACACAAGCCCTCATTTTTTTTTTTTTGAAGGCCATAATTTATGACTGGAAATGTTGACCAGAGCAAAATTCTGAGTCTTTAATGCACTTATGTAGGCTGTCAACCTAAAACCCAACCTTGTTTCTTTAAGTCATTTGTAATATTCATTGGAAGCAGATGATCTTGTATGCTTCTTCAGCAACCAGTTTATCTTTCTGAAGAGATGGATTACAGTGAAGAATGAGAGTTCACAGAACGGTCTGCCTAAAAGCAGTTGATATTTAAGTTACTCAACTGACAAATTATTATTATTTCTCTGTATGTGTGATGACTTTTTTTTTTTTTTTTAAGACCGAAATCAGTACTTTACTGTCCTTATTTAGTCATTTTGGTAAACTAAGAAAAAGTCAAGATAGTTCAAGTTCTCTCTTCAATGCAGCCTAACAGCACACCACCCATATGCAGGTAGAGATCATCCATCCAACCAACATATGCTTCAGGATGAGACACATCCCACGTTATGTCTCCCCAGTCCACTAGTTCTGGGACATGAGCAAAAGAGGAGAGAGCACTGACAAGGAGGAGACAGAAGGAGACTGTGGAGATATTACACAGGAAAACAAGGTTTCATCAGCTGTACTGTTCATGCCATAATTTGTCAGCTTGTTCTTTTAATTGAAAGCCAAATTGGATTCAGATTTAGAGATGACTATTACATGCTGACGTTACAGCTAAAGCATTGCTGTTTACATAGTGTGCCTTCTAAAACAGTAAGCATGGATTTCCCAAGGTAGAATGTTTATAATTTAATAGCATATTATGCTAATACATTATAATATAGTTATAATAAATTATATTATTCTGTTGTGAATTTAATTTTCTTCTTATACAAGGTCTGATCAGGGTGATTCAGAATGTCCCTGAGGGATGCTGAGGACCCTCCCTTGCCATCATCACAAGATGACATTTTGGGCTGTAATGGCGAGAAGAGGTAACATTCCAAAATTTAATGAAATGCAGTCATAGGACAACAATTTCTAGAGAAGGAAAAAACAGTTTCCTGAAAAGAAACAAGCATGAGGACCACAGGCAAGCTGAACCAGACCAGTATTTTTCCCCCAAGCAGAATCCTCATTACTGTTAATAGAAGTTATTGCACAGACAACAAGGAGACTTGAGCCTCAGGGGTGCGACTGCCAAGTCACTGCAAGAAGATCGTACTGAAATCCAATGCTGACCTATCTTTGTACGCGCAATGACTTTGTTAAGGATACAGAATTAGCTGCCAGCCTGTGCCAACAATTTGACCGCATCAGACTAGAGTGATTTGCTCAGTTCTTGCCAGCCACATCCCCCAAAACTCCACGGGTAAATGCTGCATAATAGAGCTCAGAGCTACAAACTCAAGCTAATGAATGCTGTCAGATTCCTAGCTTAGTGAATGGACACAAAGTCAGTAAATGTCATTCAAAAAAGCATCACTTCATACAGAACACGGTACTTAGCATTTCTGATGCACTACCATTACAACATTTATAAAACTATATGTTCCTGCCTTCAAACCCTATGCTACACAATTTTGAAATTAGATTTAAAATGTGTACTTTTGTAACTTAAAGGATCTTCCACAACAGTGGAGGAAAGGAAAGCAAATGGTACTATTTATCATAGAAAAACACTGAAAAAATCTTTAGTGGTCATTTTCCATTCCTGTCAAACTACTCATCCAAACGTCTTATTTTTTGATTAATTCACTCCCCCTTATCCGTGTTTGAAGTAAAACGAAAAAACATGTTTTTCTTGCAGCTATTTTTTGCATGTACCTTCAGGACAGCAAGTCACAACTTCACTTACATTAAAGGACGACTATACCTTTTTCAAGAAAAGCCAGCTGGGTTTTGGATTGTAAATGCCGCATTTACAACACACAACTTTGAGACAGTCTTACAACTTCTGGAGCTTAATGGAAAATTCAATCTCCCCTGAATGAAGCCACTATTAAGAAAAATCTGAGGATGCCAAAATCTCAAGTGCTTACCTTTCTCATTGGTACTTGTTGGTGTTGGAGGGGGAAGTCCAGGCTTAGATTTGTCGTAATTGTTAAAGCTCTGGCTGCGTCGATTGTTGGCACTAATAGAACCACGAGCTTTTGCCTCACTGCCTGCAGTGGACACCCTCGTGGTGGGACCTGGAAGTCTGATGGAAGAATTACAATACAATTAAATATATTTAAAAAGCACTCTGGGAAAGAAACTATGGAATACCATGCATAAGCTGAAAAGAAAAGGATCAATACCACAAGTATATACTCATATATAGAGAAACGCATAAGGGTCTTTGCTTTTTTGTAAGAACAACTCAAAAAATCATCCTAGATGAAAAATGTATGTCAAACAGGCTACACTCTGAACTGTTTTACATCAGAAAAAAACCCCTGAACCAAAATTAATAGTCACTTGCCATAAAACTTGTGAATCAGAAATAGCTGCAAGTAAATTCAGTGGAGCAGTACCACTGGCACAACGTTATGACTAAGTGAGACACTACTGTTCTTAAACCAGATTGCTGGACATAACGCTGGATGAAAAAGGACTACGCTTATTTTGGCAATAACAATGACATAGAACATGGCTGCCTTTTCCCTTGTTGAGAAGCACATCACATCTCTGCTCTGAAAGCTACAAAGCCTGGCAGCCAAGTCCAGCAAAACTTTAACTTGGTTTAAATATTTGAGCCTATAAAATATTATACAAAGCTTAAGTGCCCCCTCTTAGGGCAAGCACATTATCTGTGAGCTGGTATAAGTCTCTGGTTTAAATGTGGTCAGTCTCTTCCAGCATTTCCTTACTGCAGTCTGTATTTACAAGACTTAGCTGTTTACCTAGGAAAAAAAAAGTAGTTAGGATTCTGGAGTAAGTAGACAAGGAGGGATACTACTTTCATGCTTTTCAGGCAAAAGGGGAGGAGGAAAGCTTTTCTAAAAGCCTGACAGAATTAGGAAAGCCACTGGCATCACATCTCAGAACACTATGTGTGCTTGAGTCCTTCAAAGTCAAAGTTCATACACAAAGTTTTCATGTTTGTACTGTATTTTGTGCAAATATTTCTTCATTTTGAGCACATATTTCTACATTCCAAAGAGATGAAATATTAAAACCAAAAGATTTGGTAGTTGCTCAAAATGCATACTGAAGGGAGTTAGTCTTCAATGGGATGTCCTTGCTTTTCACTAAGAGGTAGAACCAGTTCATGTCCCCCACAGAAGCACTGAAAGGGATGGCTCTTTACCATCTTTGTATTTTCTGTATGGTAGAATCTCTTTAAACCTTCTTTACAAAAATCTAACTGTCTTAAATAACTTTTGCCAATAATAGGCTAAAATGAGGAAGTCCCAGTTGTCAGAGAGAACGGGATGCAACCAACCAAATCACCATTGTGCCTCTGGGAAGGAAGAGAAGCCAGGAAGGATTCTGGCAGGGCTTCCTAAATAAACTGGCTTCTCCAAGACTAGTGAAGAAAAAGGAAATACAAAAAGAAACATGAAGGAAAAGAGCAAAAACGTCAGCAGCTGCATGCACATGCTTTCAAAGCTCAAAAGAGGATAAGACACAAGGGCATCATTCAGATACAAAACCAAAAATTAATTTACAAACTCAAACCACCACAGATCTGGCACAGCACAGCATGGTTCTGAGGTTGACTTTGCTGAAGCTTTTTAGATGAGGCCCTCAATTTATCCAGCCTTCTTTAACACTGGGGGCTGCCAGAAAGTTGTACCTACTCAGCATTGCAGCAAGGTGTAAATGAGAACACCCCAGGGATGCTTCATCCACTGTAGAAACTACACGGGAAGAAGGAGAGGCAAAGCAGGGACAAACACTGTTCTTGAGAACTTGGAAGTCACCAAGACAAGAAGGTTCATTAAGAGTTTGTTTTGCTTAACAGGAAACGAGCTAGGTTTCCTACAGGTAGGAAGGACACACAAGATACCTCAGCTGAACGTTTCTACCCAGTGATAAAACATGGCCAGTACAGGCCAACCACTGCAGGAAGGCTACTAGAGCCCCCAGTACTGGGAGGGGAGCTTTCTGGCAGGGCTTGGCAGGAGGGAAGGGATAATGTTCTTGTACCAATGGGTAAGAAAGGCTCTCCGCACATGCCCAACACAGGTTTTGCAAATCTGTCACATTTTAAGGTAAATAAAGCTACTCAAACCATGAGACCACTCAAAAAAGGACAAGTTTTCGATTCAAGTCAGTATTGTCACTACCAATAAAACATACTGAGAATAAAAACCATACGTGCTAAAAACACTCTTGAAGAAGATAACATTTCTCTTAGACTTTTTTTTTCCCCTCTGTAGTTTAACTGACTGATTTTAAGTTCCTGCTTTTGGTAGAGAAGATAACATTTCTCTTAGACTTTTTTTTTTCCCCTCTGTAGTTTGTCTGATTTTAAGTTCCTGCTTTTGGTATTAGGCCAAGATATTTCACAGCAGTGCCTGCGAAATCTAAGAGGAAAAAAAAAAGGTTCAGGGAGAGGTTTCTAGCTTCTTGCTATTAGAGACAAGTACTGAGCTCAGAGAATAATCTCCATTACTGCACTTCAGCACCTCTTCTAGGCAAATACAAACTGTCAAGCCATAATTATGATCAAGAGAGAACATGAAAAGGAAACATGGAACATTTTAACAGGGGTTATACTGCAGACCTCCACTGTTGTCATAAAAGAAGTAAAATGGGGCAAATAAATCCAAATTGTACAGCAGAACTAACATTCTATACAAACTTGCCAAGCTGAATAAAAATCATAAATAATAGTTCACAAGCTTAGCAAAAATGGTACAGTACAATTTATGAGTGTAGAATTATATAAAAAATCCTAGTAAAACATTTGAATATACAATAGCAGTAAAAGTAAACACAATTAATAACCACAATAATAACACAGCAACCCTCATGATCACCGAGATGAGATGATCATACCAGGTGGCATACAAGTCCTGCTGGGATTCAGGAAAAAATAGACTGATATACCTATTAATCGTTTTTAGGGAGATGAGATGTGCTCAGCTCCAGGGCACTGGGGAGTGCAGCACTGACGAGACAGACACACACGGTGCTGTTTGGGCTCACATGGTGCGTATGACGCTCCACTTACCAGCTAAGACAATAGCCTGATACTAGTCATTTCAATAACGCAGATCTAAATACAACTAATACAGATCTGTACAGTGGGGAGAGAACTCCCAGAACCATGTTTTGTTCTCAAAAGCAAAAGCTAATAAGGACAAGAAAACCAAATTATTTTCTTGCATTCCACACCTTGAAAAAAAAGAAAAAAATAAATAAATTAAAGTTTAATAATTCCATGGTTCAGCTGTTTGTGAAAAGGCCTAGTTACAAACTATTTTCAACAGGAACCCTAAACATGCATCCAGAAATATTGCAAAAGGATTATTCATGCTTTGCAGAAGATGAAGAAATGCTAACCTAGAAGACCTTTTCTGACCAAGAGTGAACCGGATGATTTTGCTTTGAGATGAGTCCCTGGGAGATGCACTGTGACAGGAAAGAAAAAGCGGAAGATAACATTGAACACAGAAACTTTTTATTTTTAAGCCACTGAACTTAGTAAGTAGTTTTAGGGAGGAAACAGTTTTTATGTATTTCACAGGGAAAAAAAGCTTCTTGCCTAAGTATGACTTTAGGTCAAAACTCCTAAAATCTAAAATGAATTAATATTTATAGAGTAACGAACGTGCAATTCTGCATGCAAACCCCAACTTTATTACTCTTTTCCTTCTCAATCTTTTAAGAACATATGACATTTAAGACCTTCAGGTTAGATATTTTTAAATTATTTAAATTATTTGAAACCCAGCACAATCTACACAAGAGACTGAAAATATCAGAGCAATATTCAAATGGTCCCAGGCCTTTCTGCATGTTTCTGACAGGAAAGTCACAGAAATATGTTCAAATACATCTTTGTTTTACAGTCATTGTTTCCTGTACAAGTTCACACATGCTGTAGCAACACTATGTTTTTCAATTATATGAAAATATTCTTTACATCCAAAATGAGCATGATTCATGAAGACAGACATATGCAAAAACCAAAAGAGTAGTCTCCCTTGGAAGGCTTCATTTAAACTGTTTATATCCCTCACAAAGCAGCATTTAAGCTAGTGGTCACCTTCATATCCGTTATTTTAACACAAATAAACCTCAACTTAATTTGAGATATTTAAAAAAAAAAAAAAGCCTTCATACCTTCATACTTTAGGAATTGTGCAAATATGGCTTCAGCCTTTAATCCTGCCCGCCTATCCCCACTAAAACCCTCACTCTCTTCGCAGTGGAAGGGTCAGACAAGCAGAAGGCTGTACACACATTCATGCTGGTACTGCCTTCATAAATTGCTTTTATTCTAATCTGGAAAGAGTACCCCTAGGATTCAAGACATTCAAGGGACAAAGACGCCCTCTAGTTATCTGCATTCTGATCTAGGAGCACCAACAAACACCAACGGCAAAAATTATTTTTCATGTAAGCCAGCAGCATATTATTTTTGACCAATAAGCCTAGATTTCATTGTGACTGTCACCAACCATGATGAGCAGTATTTCTTTTACCACTATCACAGCCTTCCACTTCTTAGGACCAAAATTCTTGTAAACCGAGAACTGAAGTTGGTTTTCACATGCGCCAAGTACCTATTCTGTAATGGCAACAACACACATGCTTTGCAAGAAGAAAGAAGCAAAACAAATACTGAGAAAAATGTCTTCGTAAAATACTGTGGTTACTTGGTCTAGCTGGCATTTTACACCCATTGGACTGCATATTTCTAGCACAGAGAACATGTTTAAGCACATCTGTTTTGATTTCCAAAGGTGTGAAGTCAATTGCCACCCAGCATCCAATTTCCAACACGCTCTTTATTCTAGAGTAGAACTAAAGAAAGAAGTTTCTTTGGCTTTTGAAGATCTTTTAACACGAAGAAAAAAAAAAAAAAGAAATAAACAATGAAAAAAACCCCAACTTAAAGGAAATTTCCCCACCTGGACTGCATTTCTGGTTGTGCTTTGAACTGATGCTGCGCAGCTTGCGGGGGCTGTTGGCACGGAGTCTGGAGCGAAGCCGGTACCTGCTGCTGCAGTACCCCGACCTGGCACTGGGATGGAGGCCCTGCTTGCTGGGATACTGGGGGAGGTTGCTGGGACGGATGGAGTTGTGGTTGCTGTTTCTGCGGCTGCTGTTGCTGTTGCTTGTATCGAGATAAACTGAAGAAAAGGCCCAAGATGGCCTTTAGATTCCCATTCCTGATTTCTGTAAGGCAACGTTCAGAAGTCACTTGTCAGCCACCAGCCATTGTTTCTCTCCCACCGTACAGCGGGTCACAGTCACTGCGCTCTTCATAACGCCGTCAGAACTCAGTTCCTTTAGGATACGACAGGCTTTCTGCACATCTAATCGGCATTAAAGCTGATTAACAGTGAGCACCAACTACAAATAAGTAACTAATTTCTCCCCTGCGGTGACGGCACAACATCTTGCATTTCTGCTATAGTCTGTGTGTTAACGCCAGTGTGCTTAAAAAGATAGTTCCTTTAAACAGTTCCTTTAGAGTAACTAAAAAACCCCACAACAACAAGTGTATTAACAACAGCACACTGTAAATGATTCCTCAGCCCTCAATTTGCGCAAGGAGGAGAAACTACTCAGTTATCACACAGTACTATATAATTTCTGGAATATCAGACTAATTGTTTCCACTAAGACAAACCTGATGCAAATTTTGCACTCGAAAATATGATTAATGGGTGAAATAGCTGTATTAAAACAGATAATAACCAGTTTGATACTATCACAAGCCAAAAAAGAATGGATACCCAAGGTACCTAAAGATAGCTTGACAGTGAATGAATAAATATTTCAATTTCTAAAAGTCATCCTGTTCTTCTAGGCAATATCAAATGTAAAAACAGAAATACAAAGATAAAAACATGTATCAGAACATGCAGTTAACCTCTGTATCATAATTACTGTGCAAGAGTGCCAATTCAGTCTTGCAGACCTTAACAATGTGCCGTGACTTAATTATTTAGCATGGTTTATTTCCTAAATCTAAAAAGTGAATTAAAAACCCTAAATCAAACAGTTGAACATTTGCATGCATTATACAGACCACTTGAACTAATAAAACTTACTGCTGACCTATGCTTTTAAATCCCTCTACATGGATTAGTGCAAGAGGGGAAGGACACGTGGCAAGACAGTGGCCAAGCACAATGGTGTGAACCAGAATTTTAATTTCTGTTCCCAGTTCGGGCTGAAAGGTTGTTCTCACTTTGCAATGGGCCCTGCTCTATCCTTTATTCCCTCTCCCAGCCACCTATCTGCTCACATTGCTCATCTCTGCTGTGTAACAAGCTTCTGTTCTTAACGCTAAGCCCTTTACCCAGCAAACTTCTGGCGCTCAGCTTAAAAATTTTGCTCCCCTTTCTATACCAGCTTCCAGTTTTGGTCTCCTTGTCTACCTGTACCTTAATCTACCTTTTCTTCCTAGCCACTAATCTAATTTACTTCCTTAATTTTGTGTTGGCCCATGACCATCTCCTCAGAGACTCCTAGACCTTATCTAAGTGGTCCTTGTCATCACTCAGACCCAGGATATTCCTTTCCTTTCCTCTCCTACTTCTTGACTGAATTTCCTTACGCATTTTTCCTCCTTGCAGTCTGGCACCTCCACCAGTGCTCTCTCCCATCACCACCCCCACTCCCTTGTTCAAAGGAGTATCAATCCCAGGGCCCTTGAGCAACCATCTTCTGTCTTCCTTTGCCTTCTTAAACAATTTTAGTCTCTTCCTGGACAGTGAGGTCCCAATGAATCCTGCCTGTTTCCCCTCTTCCCAGTCCACTCCTGGTCTCATGCAGTGTCATGCCACAAACCCGGCCTTCTCCCACTGCCATCAGCACCTGCATCAGGGAGGTTCCTTCTCTAATCCACCTGTGTTTAGCTGGGGAGGACAGGGATGGAAGTACACAATAAAGTAAGAGAGACACAAAAGACAGCAAAGCACAGTAAAAAGGATCTCCTCAACTTCAGTAAAGAACTCATTACTTACGGGAATTGTAAGGAAAGTAGCACTTAATCACAGACTGAAGCATAACTAAACAGACCCAGAGGCACTGGGAAGCTTAACTGCACAAGCACAGGCCAGAAGATAGAAGAAACTACCACGGCTCTGCGTGTTTGAACTTAGCAAAGCCCTACAAAATTGGAAACAAGGCCATGATTTCGATGTGAAATGACAGGCAATTATAACAACAACCCACCTCAAGCCTGTTGCTTCCTACGGCTGTCTATCTTCTGCTGTATTTATCAGAAGAGCAACCTGCTTTTGACATTTTTCTAAGGTGACCAAAATATAACAATCAAAACAAAACCACCTTTAATGAAGTTTTTCCCTCTGGATTTAAGCAAAATATTTCAAATAGGACTTTCAGAGGTAGTTCTGTTTCTCTTATCTTAAAGATAGACTGAGGTAATTTGTCTGGCAGTTTGCCCCTGCATTTTGTACAAAAAGAGTATTTCAAAGAGTAGTTCAACCTCACCGTGCTCTGCCCGTCAGCGTAGTCTCAACTGCTTCCTGCTTTAAGTCCCCTCCAGTCCATGTGTCAGCTTAAGTATTCATATTAACTTAGATAAGGACAAGAGCATGTCACCCACCCATTTTAAATTTGGAACCAAAAATGACTTGTCTTGTATATTTGAAACAAACACCCTGGATATTTGAGAGGAAACTGGAATTTGGTTTTCAGAGAATCCCCACGTGTCTACCCTTTGGAAATTTCCATCCTGGAAAATCTCTGTTGCTGCTTGCTTCCCCCACAGCTGGAACTTCCACCTCTGTAGCTTGCCCACCATTCTTCTACATCTTCACAAAAATACACTGGACTCAGTGAAAATTGAAAAACAAAAATCAGTTCAGGACAAAGAAAACGTAAAGAAAAGAAAGGTCTGCTGGAGAGATCCATAGAGAAATGTCATTGTCCAATTCCTCTAATGCTTCGGAATGAAATTTCTGCAAATCACAAACTACTCATTGTGTACAGAATACAGATTAATAAAGAAGAAGAAAAATGGTCTATGACTGTTATTTAGTCAAGCTTGTTTGCAGCTGCTTCTTTAAAGCTTATTTTGTATCTGATTCTGCAAAGCATGTGGGACTAGAAAAAACAGAAGCAGTTTACAGGGAGCAGACTGGGTAGCTAAGTGGCTAGCAGGAGTAGAAACTGAGAATCACTGCACATTCCTTAGCTTGCATGTATCCTGCCAGAAAATAGGGCTGTCATATGTACATACTATTCACCCCTACAGATAGTGGGTGCCTGCTTCTGTCACTCTGCACTAGCCTCATGGTTGACCACTAAGGGATTCTGCATGCAGTCCCCATCAAGCCTTCTTAGTTCACTTAAGAGGTGAACACAACAAAATGAAAGAAAAAGGAGGAAATTGTGTCCACAGCAAACAACAGGAGAGGAGAGAAAAGGCCAAAGTAAGTGCAAACAAGTCTGAATTTAAAACAAAATGTTGAGAAGCAGATATGCTTCACAGCTGATCCAGGACTCATCATGAAGTACAGACAGACTCAACCTCAGTCAGCACATGTTTTAGGCTGGCAGGGCTCTAAGCTGACTTTAGGGATCCAAAGCTACCTAAAGAGCTCTGGGATGAAATTCATCGACTCTGCTGAGGAATGTGATCTGAATATGAACAATACTGGGAATGTCACAGAAACAAGGATGGGAAATGCAAGAAGCCATTAATTCCCACCACGCACACGAGATCTGCAGGCATTTTTTGATAATTAAAGAGTAATTTTTTGAAGACTGTACATAATTGTAGTCTGGGTGGTATCATCAAAATCTGGCAACATGGTAAGTGCCCTACTCAGGTAAGATTAAAATAGCGCTGTGGGATATTTGTGCTGCAGAAACAAAAATTACACTTTGACATTGGAGAGGCCCTAAAGGGCCCAAAATGGAGGAACTGCAGTACTGCAGTGTGTGTACACTGAAATTCAGTTACCTACAGAGGTGAGAAGGTCATTTCAGAGGCAAAAGTCTAAGCTGAATTGTGATTATTCCAAAGTCTTGCAAGACGTTTTCTTTCATCACTTTACGGTTTCACGATTTGTTCAGCTGATCATTATGCAGCTAATCTGTTACCCACAAGAGGGGCAGCTGCTATCTATGACATCACTTGGAGTTTCTATTGCACATTTATGTTCTCCATAATCTTCAAAATCTTGGCAGTGAGGAGATGTTCCGTGAAGAAGGGCAAGCTTAGCTAGACAGCTGCAATTCCAGGAGTCTAAAACCCAGATCGGTGTGGAAAAAAGTTTAAGAGCATGGGTACGGCCAGACAGCTCAAAGGAATCGACAATTAAAAAAAAAAAAAAAAGAAGAAAATCGCACCAAGAAGAGAAAAGAATCTTCCAGCGTCCCCACAGTTTTCTTTAGCAACTACAAATGGGCATCTTACGATATAAAAATCTTGGAGATGGGAATGGCCTTTTGGCTTCACATTGCTAGGGAAAGGGGTCGGTCTTCAGCATAGTGTGGTCATCATCAGTCACTGCACATCTTTAGCATCTTCACTGCACAAATCCATAAAAGACTCCGTCCAAGTGGCACGCACATATGAAAGCAGGATTTTTTGATACTGGAAGGATATGATACCTGAAGTCCCAAATTACATCAACATTTAGAAGTCATCCAAATTCCAGTTTCGAATCATTAACTTCCTCCACACTGAAACTGCACTATTGAAAAATACGTGCTGTCAAGCAGCCTAGGGGAGACTTCAATGTTTATTCCCATTTGGAAGCAATCACAATCTCCTTCCTCCTAGATGAGGATCTGCCAGCGAAATAAACAAAGTTACTTGCAGTTGACCTAGCAGGTCTGGCAACTTGTGCTGAAACTGGCTTGTTTGGTTACGGCACTCTCCATTTTAAGTGATTCTGTGTTTTCTCTCGTTCAGTTTCCCCCTCCTAGGGGGGAAACAGTTAAAGAGTGACCAAGAACAGAAATGGAACTTATTGTTGAAATCAAGTCTTTCAACTTCACTTTGCAAAAAACGTTCCTCCCCTCCCCTCTCTGTCACTCTTTTCCTTCAGCGTTAGTGGCAGAGCCAGTAAATGCTCTCATTCATGTGTTGGCAGCAAACATTACCGGTCTCCTCTTAGCTTCTGTATGATTTAATATGTTAATTCCTAGATAGTGTAGAAGACCAGAAGAAATACAAAAATCAGTGAAGCCAAGGGACAACCTATATCCTGCTGAGTCTGACTTGTGATTTGGCGGGAGAGCAACGAACATTCATCATGCTGTCCCTGTCCCTTCCCCAGTGTGAACAACACTACACTGCCAACTTTGCACACCCAGACAGTCTTCTCATCAACTAATCTGCTATTTTTCTTAGATTTTGCATTATATCAAGACAGGTAAATAATGTGAAATTTATTATATTTTTGCAATATTTACATATCATATCAAGGTCAAAGTTGGCTTTTACAAGTGACTCAGTTGCATTTTCTTTTTAACCGTTTCCTGGTAAACCACTTTCCGCTGTTAGAAGTTTTAGCTCATACTTTCTTTTCTTGACATGAGAATCCTTCTGATTATAACTATTGAGGCTTACAATGCTGGCAGTACTTGGGCTGACCATATTAAAGCTTCTCTTTGGAGGAAAATATTTGTTGCGAGTGTTCTAACCCAGCTTAAGGATACACCACGGAAAGACAGGTAACCTTCAGCCCCCTCTTCTACTAGTTGTGGTTACAGCAGCTTAGAACAACATGTACTAAATATCTGCTACTTTACTTTCCATGCTTACAAACCATCTCAAACTTAGTGAAATTACATTTCAAACACACATTTTCAAGTGGCTTGTAAGATCTCATAGACTAGGATGAGGTAAGGGGCTTCCTTTTGAGGACAGCAAGGAATTCTTTAAGCTATTTTCTGAATTGGCAAAATGCAATTTTAAATTGTAATTTCAAATAACAATTTCTTTAAAATAACAGATATTACATTAATTTTATGAAAGTTTTTATATTTTTGAAATGTAATGTACATATATAAAACTTGTCTCCACGACGGTTTCACCATAAAGTTCATGCACAGCGGTTATCTGGAACATATTTCATAAAAATCATTTACCACCCATAAGGGAAAGTGTGTTTCAGCTAAGACTTCAAGTCATGATCGTAACGTGCATGGTGCTGGGGTCTGGATTTGTGACTAGAACAGTGTTGATAAGGCGCCTGCGTTGTGGCTATTGCTGTGCAATACCTTCACGGTGCCAAGGCCCTCCCTTCTTTCCACGCTGCCTCCCCCCAGTGTGCAGGCTGCGGGTGGGCAAGAAGCTGGGAGAGGACGCAACCTGGACAGCTGACCGAAGGGATATCCCATGCCACATGATGTCGTGCTCAGCAATAAAAACTGAGGTGGGTGGTGGTGGGCGTTGGGGACGTAGCCATTGCTCAGAGACCGGCTGGGCATCTGGCTGCTTGTGGGAGGCGGCGAGGGATCGCCCTTGTGCCGCTTGTTTTGGTTTTCTTTTCCTCCTTCCTTCACACAAGCCATCTTTATCTCGACCCATGCATTTTCTCACTTTTGCTCTTCCTGTTCTCTCCAGGGCTTAGCTGCAGGCCAGGGTCAGCCCACCACACCTACACATGCTTTCTTGCCTTTCTTGTTTGAGCTACACGATTCCTTCAGAGGAAGAACACACAGCTTCAAACAAACAGGCAATGAAGTTATTCACACACAAGTAAACGTACGTGCATGATTTGATGATACAGCCTCCTCTTCAAAACTAAGTTTGCAAAGAGACTTAGTCACCAAATCTAACTTGAAGTCTCACCTGATGCCGCACATACAATTATTTGTTCTGTGAAGCACTGAAGGAGATGTCATATAATATATTCAAAGTTTGCCTCAGCAGCTAACAAACCTAATTTCTTTCCCAGCATATTTACATGAAAGTGAAAGCTGGGGCTGAGGATGAAAGAAATCTGTTTGAACTCTTAATAAGACAGCAGTTAAACAGCTTCTGAGCCAAAATGTACCACACATCCTGACATATATCATGCACCGGCATAAAGGAATATAGTCCACCAAGTCACGTTTGGGTTTCAGAAAAATTCTGGTGCTCTTCAAAAGCAGAGTGATTAATTAGAGGTCAAAATGTCTTTTTCTTTTTTTGTTTTGGTTCCAAACATTTGGATTTTATTGCTCCATGTATTTGGAGACAAACTTGAAAAAAATCTTTCTGTAAAAAAGAAAAGCAAGCAGGATACTTCTTCAGGTACGAGAATAACTGAAGAATGAGGAAATGAACAATAAAGGCAAACAACTTTAAATATCTGTAAAATCTACACTCTGATCAATGTTCCAATTATAGAACTTAGATGAGAAATTTCTGGTCTGTAATAGAAAGAAACAAAGAAGTAACTGAATTCTAATTTGGTCTCATTCATTGTTTTTACACATCAGCTGCGTGGAGATTAGACATATATTTTACCTACCTTCCACACTGAAACGGGGAAAAAAGAAGTAAAGACTACCAAAAGTTTAAATTATCCATATTAATCTTCCATTACGCTCCATGTACTGGTTACAGTTGCAAGCAGTAACTCAGGTTGCTCATTTAAAATGAAATTTTAAACAACCGATTGACTCACCTTCTGCTGACAGCCCCTGTATGTTAATCCCTTTAGCAGCCAAGAAACTCAGACATGCATCTATGTTTTCAATCTGTTCAAGAACAAACAAACAAAGACACAAAAAGAAAATGTATTGTAATAATTGTTTACTTTCATCTACAGCCACCCTTTATTGCACTCAGTCTTTGTATCACACAGAGTCCCTTTGGTCATTAGGTGAAAATCGTAATACAAAACCTCCTCAGTTACTAAGGTCCTGAATTGATGAATATTCTGTGGGTCGGGAGTTTCTGTTATTTGTACTTGCATGAAACAAGTTATTTAACACTCCAACCACAAGAAAGGATCACTACATATCTTACTAAAGGGTCAAGGATGTTATGCCAGGATTTTTAACCTACGGTAAGTATAACAAACATGAAACCAAAAATAAACATGGAAGCCACATTTGCTGGAGAAGGCAGATTGCCACTTGCTGTTTAGTTGACAGATGGCAGAAGTTTCCAGCCACAAAAGCAGTCAAATATAAAACCTGTAACTGTAAACCCCAGCTGGAATCCAAAAAATGGTCACTCACGACATCCTTCGCGTGTCAGAAATGGCAGGCAACCCTGGTGACTCGCTGTGGGGCAAATCCTGCCCTTCAGAGTGACAGTGCAATGGCATTAAATTGCACAGGTGTCCTGGTTTTGGCTGGAATAAAGTTAATTTTCTTCCCAGTAGCTGGTATAGTGCTGTGGTTTGGATTTAGGGTGAGAGTAACATTGATAACAAGCTGATGTTTTAATTGTTGCTGAGCAGCGTTTATACCAAGTCAAGGACTTTTCAGCTTCTCATGCTGCCCTGCCAGCGGAGGCTGGGGGTGCACAAGGAGCTGGGAGGGGACACAGGCAGCACAGCTGACCCAAGCGAGCCAAAGAGGCTTTCCATACCATATGACGTCATGCCCAGTATATAAACTGGGGGAGTTGGCCGGGGGGCACCGCAGCTCAGGGGTTGGCTGGGCATCGGTCAACGGGTGGTGTGCAATTGTGTTGAGCATCCCTTAATTTGTATATTCTATTGTTACTATTATTACTTTCCCCTCCTCTTCTGTCCTATCGAACTGTCTTTATCTGAATCCATGAGTTTTACAGTTTTTCCCCTCCAATTCTCTCCTGCGTCTGAAGCAGGGGGAAATGAGCAAGTGGCTGTGTGGTGCTTAATTGCCGGCTAGGGTTAAACCACAACAATGGGATAGAATGAATTTTGACCAGGTAGGGTCTTCTGCGCAACACGTCTGACTGTTAGAGACCACAGTGGCTATATACAGACTGGACTCAAATCCCGCCTAACAAAGTGACCTCCAGAAAGGTCGGCAAGGGAGGCATTTCTTCTCCTGTATCTCAACATCGCAACAGAGATCTTACGGTACCTTCGTGCCTGATTTACAATACTTTGACTATACTATATACTTCCAAATCCCAAGAGATACCAAAGAATCCATTTCCTGTAATGTCTGGACCTTAAAGCTTGTAGCAGGGTGCAGTTCAAAGGTTCATTTACCCACTGTTCAGTATGATATGACAGTCAATCTCTACCTGTTTCCTTCCTCAGTGTTCAACAACTCTATCAAGTTTTCAACACAGCTCGAGGATTCCTTAGGTTAGTGAGTAAGGATGAGCAGTATCCCATCTCTACTCCAGATTTGCAGTTGTAGAAACTCAATGCAGCTCTTTCAGTCCTGCTTTGCTTCTCTTCCCAGGACCCTCATCTTCGCTCAAACTCTCCTTTAGGACGGGATGACCACAGGATTCAGATTTACTTCTGGGTAGCAAATTCCTCATCCGTGCCCTCATTCTTGGCACCACATACTAGTAGCCCTTGCTGACCCCCTAATCTCATGCTTGTGGCAGATCAGATTCAGGCTCAAGAAGCCCTCTTTAAAATCACTATCACTTCTTCCCTGAGACAAAGCCCCAGTTCTTACCGAGCATTTTAGCCACTTAATTAAGATATACTGCTCCCACCCCCAGACTGATGGATGACCCCCCACTGGAGCACTAAAGATTGAGGTGTGTATCTGGACCACAGGTTGAGTGACCTGGACCTCGCTGCTGTGTGAAAGGACAGACAGGCTACCTTGCTGCACCAGTTATTAATACCTAGCTAAAGGCCATGAGAAACAGGGGCTTTCTGGTGCTATACTGGTATGGAAAAAGGAGGAGGGAAAAAATAGAGTAATACAAAATGCAGAAAAAAGATACAGGACATGGATTGTGAAAAATCTAGGGTGCATTACAGTCAAGAACTCATAAGAATCAAAATGTTATAGAAACAGGAAAATATCCTATTTCAGTACTTAAAACAAGGCATGATGGAATAAAGTAGTAACAACAGAGGCTTGCAAAAGCAAACCCTTTACATTCAGAAAATAAAGTACTACAATAAGAGTCTACGGGGATGCACAAAATCGCATGTACAAGGAATTCACTGAAAAATACAATTCTGAAGTAGCAGCATTGTAGTCAGACCATTTAGATGTGTGTACCTAGGATAGAAGTGAAGTTCCTGGACAGATCTCAGCTAAGCAAAGACCTAATGACCCTGCGCTCCAGTGACTTCCAACACAAAGTACAGCTGCCTCCTTGAAATTACAGCATTCAGCAGCAAATCGTCACTGAGTCTTTACGGGCCCTTTCTTGGCCAAGCCCACGTATGCTTAAACCCTTTAAGCAGATGTGAAAAGACTGGATTTGCCAAAAGGGAGTGTATATTTTTCTTTTTCACTGCGAGCTACAATTGCTTTTTGGCTGACAATTCTGATTTCTCATTTGCTTTGCCAGCAATGTTTCACACACCAGAAGCAAAGCAGGAAGGATGGCAGTTGGATGCTCTCACTTCCCGCCTACCCAAAATAGGGGAAAGCTGCGCAAAAGGAGAAGGAAAACCAAGGACAGACATCCACAGTAATTATTTCACTTGGACACATTGCTGCAAGTGCCCAAAACTGTGCCATGCCTTGTTATGCTTCCTGGCCAAAAGCATCAAACGAATTTGCAGTTTTGAGTGGCTTCATATAAACTGTTCCAGGTATCATCAACTACCAAAGTGCATTACCAGTCCCACGCCCTATACGATGGGTATTTATTCTGAAATAGCCTTGAACGCCAACCAAGGACTGCTGAGCCTGCACCTGAGGGGCTGCCGGCCTCCAGGGGCTCCTCTTCCTTTCTTATAATAGATTATATGAAAATATAAACCCCTGTAGAACTAAACTTCTCTTCAGACACAACATATCAAGTGTCACAACTCCCATTCTCACATTCACAGAAGCAAAAGGCACGTTCCAGTCAAGTACTTGAAAACTTCCTCTTAACGGGAACCTCTGGGTGGCATTTGCTACCTGGCAAGACGGGAGCAGAGGGCATCGCGGCTCAAGTATTGCACTGGCGTTACTTCCAAACACCAGACCAGAAGCAGTTGCTCTGTTACACCAGTAAGACCATCAGCCTCTTGCTGGAAAAGCAGGATTAAAAGCTAGTGGTCACACATATTTACTGACTGCTAAGTACTAAGGACACCATTGCACATTATCATTCTCATTCCCACCAGACCTGCACACTCCTCGTTCCTCCCAAGCTTCTACACAGATGAAACTCAGGTACACACAAATTTAACAGCTTCACTGAATTCTTATGTGTGGATCAGAAAAAACTTATTTAATTCCCATTCTGCTATCACCTTCCCAGGGATACCACTCAGATTTCCCTCTGTTCTCAAACGTACCTTACTGTAATTATGCATTTCCAACAACATCAGCCACCAGACCCACACGAGTTTTTGCACTTGTCAAACAGCAGTTTCAATTTCTATTCTTGTCAGAAAGAAAAGGAGCTGGGAAACATATCCCGGCCTGGATGAGCAGGACAGAACACACCAGGAAAAAAAAAAAAAAAAAAACAAAAAACCAAAAAACTAACCCAAATATCCTCAGCCTGTAGCCTGCAAATGGAAATCCATACGTCAGCACCAATAGATATTGAATGTTGACTATAACAGACAAAGACTTGAATATGGAAACTGTCTACAGCCAAAGCTGCCCACCCAATTTTGCCAAGTCAAATACATCGGGTATATTCTAACTAGTGCTGCCCTTGTGACAGATACAGATGTTTTTCTCAAACAAAAATCAGAATTAAACTTACTGTAGGTTCCTTCACTTAGAAACCATGGGAGATTGGTCACGTTATGACGCAAGACCTCTGCTCTCAACTTTTACAGTCATAGATGTGGCATTTTTATGAGCTTGCTCAGAAAACCCACTACTTATATTGAAACCAGTGCTTTCCATTTAACTTGAGGCTCCATGTTATGATCAGTATATTAGTTTCAAAGGAGGAAAAAGAAGATAAATCTAATGTGAATTTTTTTGAAGTTTCACAAAGTCTTATGCAACATTCCAGCAGACTTCAGCTCCACTGTAGAAACAAGGAAAGAGCCTAACACAAGCCGCTTTCAGCAAGCAGTTTCTTAAGGCAAAATGTATTCCTTATCGTATTTTCAGACCAAGCTTTTACACTCCATATTTTTCTATCATAAAGTTTAGAGAGAGCCTTAAAATCTTAAGTCATTACATTGACAATCCTTTAAACCCTGGAGGAGTTTTGGGGGAGGGGGGGTTCTCCCCTCAAATAATGTCTCATTTGCACTATTTCCTAAACATAATTATACTTAAGAAATACCAAGGCAAAATTGCAATTTCCATTTTCCTCAGAAGGATATAAATACTATCAATGCTTTTGTTTAAAATACATCTTTCATTAGTATCTTTTTTAAAGAAAATAATACGTTGCTCCAAGTGTGCATATGCTGCTCCTGACTATTTGGATAAAAATCTGTCTCAAAATTGTTTCAGGATTTTGACAGAACTTGGTAGATAGCAGAAACGAAGTAACAGATGTAACACAAGGGCAAATTAGGCTAACCCATATTCTCAAGCCAGGTTGTAACAGACATAGCCACACAAATGAAAATCTATTATCGTGGGTACACTGCTTTCACACGTACGTGAAGAGTTGACCCTCTCTGTTACGACTGCATTATTCGTGT